ATATAAGAAGCTGCAACAGCTTACAACAATTCAAAAGTCGATTATACCACCACTGCAAAATATATGTATAGAATGAAATGATACAAAATTTTATTTTAAAGGATTGCTGCTTGATCCAGTAGAGAGGGTCGGCATGGAAACTAGTCCTTTCCATTCGCCCTACAGTACGGCTCAAGATCTAGATCCTTTCCAGTAGAGAGGGTCGGCATGGAAACTAGTCCTTTCCATTCGCCCTACAGTACGGCTCAAGATCTAGATCCTTTCAGACCACTTGTATAACAGGAATATTTAAAGATAGATTGGCTCGGAAACTAGTACTTTCCGACTGATCACAAATTACTTTATAGCCTTTACATATGACCACAAAGCCTGAAGTGAAGTTGCGACTTGGAATAAAGTCCACAGCAATGGTACAGGAAGTGCGGCTCTGGAACTCGTCCTTTCGGGCCGCCCACCTAAACAGTACCCAACATTCGGGCTGCTCGGGATCCCGTCCATTCCGACAGCCACGGTCACACTTATAATTTAATTTAATATAATTAATAAAATTACCTTGTTTAAATGTATATATATTTGTACAGGATAAATGTTAAGATAGTCCTCTCAAAAAAATGTGTAAGAACAAAATATGTAGTGAAATAAGAATATTGTTTTCATGTATGATTGTGATCCTGTGATGTAATGTATGCATATATCAATATAAAAACTATAAACCCAAAATTGTACCAAATAAAATAGTAAGCAAATATTGTAAGCAAATATTGTAAATTTTCAGACTTGTTATAGGCCTTTAAAGGCTGTCAATTAATGAATAAATAAATAAATAAAATATATAAAAAATCGCATCTTAACAATCAGAGGTATGGAAGATATACCTTATATAGCACCAATCTCAGTGATTTTCACTGATATGTGATCGGTATGTAAACCGGTAACACAATTTATTGGGTTTAGTTTCCTACATAAAGGAGATATATCGCAAAAACTGGTACCTGATCAATCAGTGGTATAAGAGATAAAGCTTATACCGAATAGATTTTGACGATTTTCTCAGTAGAATTTGTGTTATTATTTACAAAATAGCCTACGAAATTTATCGGTTTTAGCTGTCCAAATAAAGGAGTTTTACAATAAAACCCCATATCTGAACAATCAGATGTATGGAAGATACATATATGTTATAGTCACCCGATCCTTGTTATTTTCACTGTAAGTATTCTGTTAATAATGAGTGAAAATGGTGCGAAATTTCATGTTCCTAGCTGCATAAATGGAGGAGTTATGATAAAAGACCTCATATCTGAACAATCAGTTGTATGGGGGCTGCAGGTTATAGTGACCCGATCTTTGTTATTTTCACTGTAAGTCTTCTGTTGATAATGAGTAAAAATGGCGCGAAATTTAATGGTCCTAGCTACATAAATGGAGGAGTTATAACGAAAAATCTCATATCTGAACAATCAGTTGTATGGGAGCTATAGGTTATAGTTACCCCAGCTATTTAATTTTCACTGTAAGTTTTCTGTTGATAATTATTGAAAACAGTGCGGAATTTCATGTTCCTAGCTATGTAAATGGAGGAGTTATAGCGAAAAATATTATATCTGAACAATCAGTTGTATGGGAGCTATAGGTTATAGTGACCCGATCTTTGTAATTTTCATTCTAAGTATTCTGTTTATAATTGGTGCAAGTACTGCAAAATTTCATGTTCCTAGCCGCATAAATGGAGAAGTTATAACGGAAAATCTCATATCTGAACAATCAGTTGTATGGGAGCTATATGTTATAGTGGTCCGATTCTTCCGGTTCCGACAAATGATTAAAACCTTATAAAAATACACACACCTACCAAATTTTATCCGGATATCTCGATAACTGAGAGACTAGATTGCATACAAACAGACGGACAGACGGACATGGCTAAATCGACTCAGCCCGACGTTCTGATCATATAAGTATACATTTTAATGGGTCTATCTCTTTTTGTTCTGGTACTTACAAACATCGGACCAAAGTTATAATACCATTTCATGCTCATGAAAGGTATAATTATTGAAACTGCAAATTGAGT